GACGGGTCTCGGGAACGCGCAAACGGAGGCGGAGTGGTGAGGCGGAGTGTGTAGGGACCGGTTTGGGATTGGGCCTTAGAGTTAATGTTACCGATGTTTGATAATATTACCCGCGGGTGTTTGATGCGAAGGACGCAGACAGAAACGCCGCTCGCGCCCGCAGTTGTCGGTAACACTCACGCTGTCAATTAACAAGGACAGACAAGTACACACGTAAAAATAAAAGTTAAAAATGAAACAACAACCACCCACGTAACCGTGCTGGCACACAAACACTCAAATATACTTTACAGTATAATTCAAATCAAATCAACCGCTTCAACAGGCGCACAACACAACACAAGTGCACACAGCGACTACACCACTCCCGCACAGTACAGCAATCCCAGCAGCCTCAGACGAAGAATAATCCATACTGATCTTTAGTTTTGGTATAGAGGCTTCGAAATAAAATACATATGTATTATTTTGTAAAGTAGGACACCAGTATGAACAAATTAACTTCTTCATATTTTGTCTGCATTTATTAAAACATAGCATTGTTGACTTTTAGTGTCACAGATTATTTCCAACCATTTTCTATATACCTGCCTACAATTCATAATTTTTAAAGTCATATAAATTTTTTGCAGTTGTATTAAAATATATTTCATGAAACAAACCAAAAAGATTACTAATGTCATCATGAAAACAGATTTTACATAATATTAAAAAAATATACAATTGCATAAAAATCATGCAATGACTATCTTATTCTAACAAGGAGCTATTTTCATCAGAATTATGCAGTTTAACAAAATTTACAACTCATTGATGTGGATCAACAATATATTGGGTCATGCTATATTTGCCAAGGAATAGCTCTACCAAGTACTATTAAAAAGCAAAACAAGAGCAATATAAAAATACATATTAAGAAAAAAGATGAAGAATCCACATATTTTTCCCTCTTTTAATGGAAACCAGTATCGATTATCCTAGTGTTTGCTGAGCTCTGAAAATTTTGAAGATAAAAGCAGTGATAAAAGGGAATCAATCTCATGAACATTCTTCAACCATGCCTTCAAATCTCACCGCTAGCTATTAACAATTACCATATAGTTTAAAGACAAACAAAAAATATGGGTGACAAAAATTATTATTAAAAAAAAAAATAAATCTGTAAAAAAAGTCTGGAAAAAATTATGTAGTTTGCGTGCGCTCTTGTCCTCATCAAAAAAGCTTAAGCAGACAAGCATACATATCAAAACATGCATTAGAGTTTAAGAATTTAAAATATGACTTCACATTTAAGGCACTTGTGTTTCTTCTTCTGTAATACAATGGGAGCTTTGTTTAAACTACAGGGAAATTCATCTGGGGCCACGTGTAAAGTGACCCCATAGTGTGCAAAAAACTTGAATTATGACTGTGAACACCTCTTTGCCTGTATAATGTTAATTGGTTGGAACTGGCAATTTTCTGAGCAGTGTTGTCACCTAGGCAGGGAACGCAGTGTGCGCCCTTATTTGAGGTGCTCGATGATGGCGATCTCACTGTGGTCAACACAGTCGGGCTGAAGGCCATTCATGTATGGGCTGCCATTCTTGACATCCTGGTTCCTTTCGCTGGTGAAGCTAACAGACGGGACCCTCTTCCCCAGTGGTGCCTCCTGCCCAGGACCGAGCCCCAGCTCAGATGACAGCTTGCGCTTGATGGAGGCCGCCCTCTGGAACTTGTCATAAATGTCGATGCTCAGGCGTCGCCGGGTCTCCTTGAACTCGGCTGACACATTGGCTGTCCATTCTGCTGCGTGGGCGCGGAATTCCCCCACCTAAACAGAGGGACGGGGTAGTGATGGGCGATATGATGATAATTCATCGTGACTAGTTGCAACTGTTTCCACGATAAATGTTAAGGAGTTATTGCATGAATTGCAATTCAGCATTACTGAAGTGGTTGGTCAATGAACACTCTTACATAGATTCCAGTGTGGTTAGTTTGTAAACAAAAAAAAATGTGATGCATATTGTGGATATAGATTCTAATACAAATGTCTTGACACAAAATTTTGGCCATACTGCCCACCCCTAGATGGGGGCATCAGTAAAGCCAAATGGCAAGGCATGGAACTCAATCCACCCAGATTCTCGCAAAGGGCCAAAATTTGTGGGACTGGGAGAAATGTTCAAACTATAGGGGGATCACACTTCTCAGCCTCCCTGGCATGCAGGCACTCTCGCTATGATAGGGTGAGGGATTTGGAGAACTGGAGGACCCTTCAGATATACACGCTGCTCTTTCGGTTCAAGAGTCGCATTATTGCTTAGATTTAAATGATGTACTGATATTTTGTGGAGCATGCAAAGAAGACCAAATTAATTTGCTGTTAGCAAGTATTAATATGATCATTGCCACTGAATCATACTTTTTCCTTCAGTAAATTTGATTACCCCAACAATCATCACTAATGCAGTACGCAAAGCATCTATAAATTGAGATGATAATTGGATGATGGTTAGACCTTGAAATAATCTCCTGCATTATCATGGCGCCACATAAAGCAAACAAACAAACAAACAAAAACATTGCAGGTTAAGAATGGATTTTTGAAAGAATTTCACTGCAGAATATTTTGTTTAACCTTCTGGAGTTGACGGCATCGTCAGCGATGCCGAGTATCTTTCTCGTGTATTTCAGTTCATAACTCGCTGATATCTTATTATAGAAACATGAAAAAACGCTGACTAAATCCGTAATCTGTCTTCTTTTCAAAACGTCCATTGTCGACAATATTAAAGTTCTTAAAATTAGGTTAAATCTGTAAAAAAGTAAACCATATCACCTTACTTTGTTTTACCTGCATCGGGGGCATGTAGTACCGCTCTCACCCAAAGATCGCTATTCACATTCTAAATGGCAGCATTAGCGTGTATTCAAATCACATTCTCATCCCCATCAGCGCCATAAAAGGGGGTTGGGGACGTGGCCAGGTGTCAATGGCTCATTCATACACATGAAAGTTGTTACATATTCAATGAAAGGAGCCAGAAATAGTGACATGAATTAGCTTTTTCTTATTTATTAATCCAACTGAATGTTGCAACTACACCATTTAGTCATCTTCATGTAGCTAAGACTTTGGTGATCAGATATCTGAGATCAAAACAAACTGCCAGCATTGCTTACTATTTACTTTTATGATGTTTCTGCAAGTGTTCCAAACTGCATTTTGCAATGTCTATACTTTGATGTTAAATTACAAACTTCACATAAATCTGACATATTTACAAAGTACACTAACATTAAGATGCCAAATATATAAGAAATAATTTATTTGCCATGAATTAAGTTTATGATATTGAATGAAATGTGTGATCATGCACCAGTCAGTGAAAGTGTCTTCCCTACCCCTAGACTCCAGAGGGTTAATACATATTGTCCACATCAGTGTTTCTCAAATCAGTCCTGGGGGAGCCCCAGACAAGAGACTGTCTGGCAGGGAGCTGGGAGGGAACAAAAATGTGTATTGTCTATTTGTGGATTCTGATGGGGACCGGGTTGAGAAACACTGGTCTACATGTCTTTAGGACAGTGTGGTGGCAGAGTGCAGTGTTTCCCAACCCAGTCCTCAGGGAACCCCGGACAGTCCACGTTTTTGCTTCCTCTCAGGTCCCAGCGCACCTGTACCAGGTATTCGGGTGTTCCTGATTGGCTGGGAGCTGGGAGGGAACAAAAACGTGGACAGTAAGGGGTTCCCTGAGGACTGGGTTGGGAAACACCGGCTTAGTGGATTGCATGGTGGCCTTGTATTCTGATTCACACCTATAGTACAAAAAGTTGCTGGTGAATGAATTGCTTTTTCTATATTTCCCAGAGTGTCCCCTGTTTCTTGGGATAGGACTCAGGCTCATCACAGCCCTAGCCTGGATAAGTGGTTATGTTTTCAATGAGATTCTGTAGGGCAGTCATGACCATAACCAAATATGATACAATGCACATTTTACCACATGCACTGCATCATGCCACTTAGGTTTAATGTACAGTATGAATCAAAAGTCTGGACACATTTGCTTTTAATGCATTTGTATCTATTTTAGTGGTGTTATTTACCTTATACTATAAGGCCTCAAGGCAAAGAAGTAATACATATCAAACATTGTAAAAACCATCTTAAATCTTAACATTTTAGATTCAAAATAGCCCCCTTTTGCTTTGATGACAACGTTGCAGACTCTTGGCATTCTTTCAACCAGCTTCCAGATGTAGCCACCTGGAATGCTTCTCCAACAGGAAGGAGTTTCCACAAGTTCTGGGCACAAGATGGCTACCTTGACTCATCCCAAAGCAGCTCTATAGGGTTTAGGATTGTGGGGGCCAGGTCATCTGTCACAGCACTTCATCTCTTTGCTTGTTCACAAGATAATACTTATTACATAACCTCGAGACATACTTAGGGTCATTATCTTATTCGAAAACAAATGATTTTCAGTAGGTGTGTCCAGACTTCTGACTGGTACTTGAGGTCAAGTTCAATTGAAATGCTCTTACCTCTTCCTTTGTTTTTTTGGACAGCACTCGCAGCCAGTCTCCTATCATGCTGAGTACAGCAGCAAAGTAGGCAAGACCGACCACAATCCAGAACCACACCGCTGGCTTGTAATAGTCCAAGTATTCAATCTCTGATCCTCCTATAGAACAGAAAGGAAGGACTTGCTAAATGGATGAAATATTAACTTTACTGGAGGGGTCCAGTGGGGGATGTTTGGGTAAATATCTCTGATTGGTTGGCATTTACCTAGTCTTGAAGTGGATCAAGCCTGGGCGGGCCAAGCCCATCCTGCCCCCCCATGGAAACAGGCCTTGTAAGATGTCATTAAGGAGGAACCTGATTTTAGATTTCTTTCAGCTCTTACAATAAAAATGCATAACGCAGACTTGTAGACTTGAGGTAAACTGGTCTCTGACATAATGAGTCCACATTTCATGTTTTCTAACAACAAAACCACGGTTCTGTTGAAGGCAATCGCACCATTCCAATCTGCATTCTACTTCTAATCACCTTATTATAACACTCCTGTGTTTGGAACACTGACCTGTGGTTAAGAATAAATTAAAACTAATTACATTCTGATCATAAGTAAAACTAATTACATCTCTGTTCTTTTGGACGGCCTTAGTTAATAAATGATGACTGTTTGGCATTCACTTAAGCATTGTAAAAGATAATGGAATCAATACCAGTGTCTTCTTCATTTTTGTTGCAATGTGATGCCATTGTATTGTTCAATCTATTGCCAAAGAACAGTATTCATGAGGAATAGCAGGCCTTGTATTATATTCCAAACAGAAATTAAGTACACAAAGAGTGATTATACTGGGTGCTACAGCTTTCACTGAACTCATTTCAACCCACCAGCAACAAAATCACCGAATCCGATGGTCGTCAAAGTGATGACCACGAAGTAGATGGCCTCAAGCGCACTCCAACCCTCAATGTGCTTAAAGATGATGGCAGGTATGGTTACGAACAGCAGGCACCCGAACAGGATGAAGAGTATGGTGGATGTCACACGGATTTTGGTTTGACTCACGTTCCATTTCTGCACACAAGACCACATGGCATTGCCTTTAGATCATGGTACTTAAAAGTAATACAAAATGACACGTCCTTAACCAGCACATCACTTGCTGAATTTCACTCCAGTTGTCATTAGATATTTTTATCCTTGATAATAAATATGATTATCGTAATTACTATCACTCCACAACTCTACAAGTACATTCCTGTGGCTAGTCATATACATCAATCATTTCTAACTCTTAAATAATTCTAGTCATAGAGTTATATTAAATCTAAAAAGCCTAGTCAACAAATGAAGAAAATCTTTTCATGTAATACACCTATGACTAAAATTAAGTACTGAATACAAGCGTATTGTATTATTCACAGAGGGATCACTAGAGATTTTGGGTCCCAACCCCAGCACACATACACATATTTTTAAAAAGGCATAATACATTATAGCTGTCACGATCGGGCACCGGCGAACCAGCAAGCAGGGGAGAGGAGCCAGGAAGTCGGGTAACAACGGGGATTTATTAAAGTTAAACAGGACCGGGGAAGCACGACAGCGAACATCAATGACAAGTCTGGGCAAGACTGACTCAGACGAGGACTAAATACAAAAGACAAGCTAAGGGTAATGAGCAACAGGTGAGAACAATCAGGCCAAAACAGGAGGTAACGAGGTGGGCGTGGCACACATTAGGATCGGACGGAGCTGGGCGTGACATAACCCCCCCCAAAAGGCGCGCCCGAGGGGAGGCAACGGACGAGACGAGGGAACAGGACCTGAAAGACAAAAACCAAGACATCAACGGGGCACAAGAAACAGGACGGAGACACAGAACAGGAACAGGGACCAGAGGAAAGACAAGACCTGACAAAGGACGGGGAATGCAGACAGGCAGACAGAAAAGGGCGACACAGAGGGAACACTCACAAGCGACACGAAGGGGCCAGGAGTGAACGGAGGAGGAACAGAGGGATGAGGAGCAGAAACAGGTGGGATGAAGGGAGGGGGAGCAGACGGGAGACCAGACAGGAACGGTAGGGGGACAAAGGGGAGCCCGAGGGAGCCCAGGCGGGTGACGGGCAGCGGCCGGAGGGGCCACAGGTGAAGGGGAGAAGGGAGCAGGAGGGAACCACACAGGGGCCAAGGGAACGGGACGAGGGAGAGACGGAGGGGACACGGAGGGAGCAGGAGGGAACACCGGCGGAGACAGGCAAAAGGGGAAGCCGGAGCAGGCGGAGGGGAAGTCGGAGCCAGCGAAGGAGCCATCCGATGTCCCGCCGATGTAGGGGGGCCCAGAGGCGGCCGACACGGACCCGGAGGTGAGGTCGAGGACCAGCACCGAGGAACTGGGGGAGGACCCGGAGGCGACTGCCGACCCGACCGCGCACAGCCAGGGGCCGAACGAGCGAGCCAGGGGGCAGGGCGGGCGGGACCCGGGCCCGGCGCCTATGTCCCCTCCCCTTACGGGACACAGAAAGGTGGGGTCCTGGGGGGTGTCGGCCTCGCCGAGGCAAGGGTGAGGGAGTCATGAGGGAGGTCCCCGAGGGGTCCCACTCAAGCTCCTCCTCCTCAGAGGAGAAAGGAGCGGGGGTCCGATTGTCCGGGACCTCCTCGGGGACTTAGGCCAGTGCTGGGAGGACAGGAGTCAGGACCTCTACAGAGGCAACAGGCGGTGCAGCCGGTGCCGCGGGCATGGCCGCAGGTGGTGCAGCCAGAGCCGCGGGCATGGCCGCAGGCGGTGCCACTGGAGAAGCAGTCAGGACGGGCAGGACCTAAGAGCCAGGCTGGACAGAAGAGCCGGGCTGGACGGGCTGGACAGGAGAGCCGGGCTGGACGGGCAGGACAGGAGAGCCGGGCTGGACGGGCGGTGCCGCGGGAAAAGCGGCGGCCTCAGGCGGTGCCGCGGGCGTGCGGCCAGGAGGGGGCGCCTCGGCGGGCGCCTCAGACACGTGGCCAGCAGGGGGCGCCTCAGCGAGCACCTCGGGCTTGCAACCAGCAGGGGGCGCCTCCGTGGGCTCGGCAGGCATCTCAGCGCGCGCCGCTAACACGTAGCCAGCAAGGGGCGCCTTGGCAAGTGCCGCCGACACGTGGCCAGCAGGGGGTGCCTCAGCGGGCGCCTCATAAAGAGCGGCGGCAGCTGCAGCAGGTGGTGCAGCTGGAGCTGCAGGCAGGACAGGAACAGGCAGGTCAGGAGCAGGCGGGTCCGGAGCAGGCTGGACTGACGAGCAGGGCTGGACGGGCAGAGAGGCGGCCTCAGGCAGGGCCGCGGGCAGAGAGGCGGCCTCAGGCAGGGCCGCAGGCGTGCAGCCAGCAGGGGGCGCCTCTGCGGGCACCTCGGGCGTGCAGCCAGCAGGGGACGCCTCGGCGGGCGCCGCCGACACGTGGCCAGCAGCAGCAGGTGGTGCCGTGAGCAGAGCGGCGTCAGCTGCAGGGACCGCAGGCAGGACAGGCGATGCTGCGGGCAGTGCGGCGGCAGCAGCAGCAGGCGTTGCCGCGGGAAGTGCGGTAGAAGCAGCAGCCGGAGCTGCTGGCAGGTCCGGAGCAGCCAGGTCTGGAGCCGGTAAGCCAGGGACTGCCCCTTTAACCCC